AACTGGGGATCTAACTAGTTTGGAATTCTGCATTTGGTTTGTGAATGTGCATCTGGAGCAGACTATCTTGCTAAAAAGCTTTCAACTTCACAACACTTAAATTCAATAGTGAACGTAAAAAGAAACTTGGGGGTGGGGGTGGGAATTAATTTTAGAAAGCCTTGGATGTAACCAGTTGGCCTTTTAATGTGAATTGAGTTGCTCCAGTGCTTCAGATTATTACATGGGCTGTTTGTTCACCTGCAGAATCACCAACTGAATAACCCATTGTAGACGATCAGAATAATGGTGCAATGACTATAAATGATATCTGCATTTTATTATCCATCCTGTAATTTCACATTTTGTCAAAGTACATACCATTCAGATGCCTAGTTTATGTACAGACACAGTAAATGATTTTCCTATATTTATAAAAGTATATATGGGTGGTAGTCGATTTTCTTTTTTTGCTAATCATGCTGTGATTTTAAGGCTATGTAAGCTGATATCAGAGTATAAATGTATTTGTAATGTATCAGATCTAAAATTAGAAATAAAGTCATTTTATATAAACTGAGTATCATTATCATTTTTTTTCAATTTCCCCTTTCCTGTGGTTTCTGGAGATGCTGTACAGTAAGTAATTATCTGTAGGGACTTAATGTATAATTATATGTGGAAATGCATTGCACACAATACTGATACTCAAATGAATGGACGTATGTATTTGCATTTTGATTCCAGCAAGCATAATTTTCGAACCTAGGAATGCTGTTGTTGCTGCATGTACATAAAGAACAATGCAGATTGTAGTGTTTATCAAAGATATAACAGCAAATGGAGGAAGATGTATATCTAAGGCTCACTATAAACTACTAGTTATTCTCTCCCAGAACTTCATGTAAAATTGCTTGCCGACTCAACCATTTCCTCCAACAAGCATTTGAAAGCAAAATTTAGCATAACCAACAATTAATTTCTCATCTCTGCTTCTCTGTTGAAGGATCTTCTCTAGATGGATAGTAATAATACAATTGATTTACTTGTCATCCTAGTTTCAACAATGTGTTGGATTCTTGAGACAGTAAGTGCTGAGAGGATGTTCCCCCTCATGGAAGAGGCTAGGACCAGAGGGCATAGATCCTGGAATTAAGGGGTGCCGCTTTAAGACTGAGATGAGGAATTTCCTCTGAGGATTGAGTCTTCAGAACTCCTTGCCAGAGAGCTGTGGAGACAGTATATTTAAGGCTGAGATAAATTCTTGATCAGTAGGGTGATCGAGTTACAGGGAAGGAGCAGGAAAGTGGATGCAAACGATGCCTGATCAGCTATGATCCTGTTGAACAGCGGAACAGGCTCGAGGAGCTGAATGATCTATTCCTGTTCTTATGTTTGATGGCCTAATGCCCAAGAAATGTTAGTGGGTGGAATAATAAATTGCATAATGACTTGAACTTGGTCTTCCTGGCAAGACCTGATCTACTCTTGCCCCTGTGATCAGGGGAATCACTGCACCTGGTTGCTGTTTGGTGCTTTTTGCTGAGAATGTGAATGAGAAAACCATTCTCAAATCCAGGATTGGAATCCTTGCATATTTCTCTTCCACAGCCTGCCAACTGTGTGAGATGTTTAGGCAGATTCGAGAATATTTTCAGGTGCTTATTGGATGTTGGCCATTATACAACTCAGTGTGTTTAGAGCTGCCTAATTTACATGACAGGTGCTGGCAGTTGACTTCACTCTCACTTTCTTTGGAGTTGCTGCTGTTTAAATTTGCCATGTTTCTTTAAGCCTTTTTACTCTTCTAAACTTTTGTTTTGCATGGTGGTCAATTTATTCTACCAAACACTGATCTCTCTAATTTCAATTAAAGTCACGATACTTTAAAGTTTATCCCTGATAATACTGCAGTAAATCTATTCACATTAGTCAACTATTTAGACATACCAACCCAATCTGCAAGTTCATTTTAACTTTGTTTTATAGCCCTTGAAATCTTTACTTTGTAATCTGTCCCACGCTTTTGAAGATTTCAATTGACCCAGCTTCTTCAGCTTTCAAGATATGAATGTACCAAATTTTCACTGCAACTTGAATGAAAAATTGCCTCCTGAATTTTCACTAGGGATCTTTTGACTAAATTAGAAATGATTCGTTAAATAACTCATGGAGTACATGACAGATTAGACCATTTGAGGTTTTCTCAGAGGGAATTTGCAAATGTATCTGCATGTGGGCATGCAGCCAAATAATAAATGTCATGTGCACAGCTAATATAGGCCATGGCTTCCCAGGCTTTATCTCCTGCATGACCCCATTTCAGGGCTTAAATTGCTGTGACCCACCTGGAAGCACTGGGCAAACAGCTGTTCTCACTTGGTCAGAGCTTCACAGTGGCCATTGCTGCCTCAACTTTAGACTCCAACATTTCAGATATCCACACCAGGGTTTCCCAAAGTGTGCTGTTCAAGCTTCCTGCATGGTTTCTGCACAAGTGTTCTGTCTGACTTGGGGACACAAATTTGATACCATCCAGGACAAAGCAGTCCACTTGATTGGTATAGCATCCACTCCCTCCACCACCGATGCTCAGTAGTAGCAGTGTGTACTGTCTACAAGATGCACAGCAGAAATTCACCAAAATTCATTAGATAGCACCTTCCAAACCAATTCCATTTAGAAAGACGAGGGCAACAGATATATGGAAACATCAAGTTCCCCTCAAATACTCGCTGTCCTGACTTAGTGACACTGAAGGAACAGTGATTTCTAGATCAAAATCCTGGAATGCCATTCCCTAAAGTTTTAAGGGTCTGCTTACTGCAGGTGGACTGTAGCAGTTCAAGAAGGCAGTTCACCACCACCTTCTCAAAGGCAACTAGAGACAAGCAGCTGGCTCAGGTAGGGATGCCCATGTTCTGAGTGAATTTTTAAAAAGCACAGGAATCTTTAAATAGACACTTATTTTAATAGCCTAATGAAGTACTTTTAATGGAAATTAAGTACTTTGGTAAGAGAGATGCTGTCAAAAAAATAAATTGTTCTGTGGGTAGAATTTACACACACCAGAAATTTGCTTACATGGAATCCAGTTTCCTTTCATCACCGCATTAGAGGCGAAAGTGTTATGGGAAGGGGTGGAAAGAATGAATTATGGCTGAAATTGTATGATCATGCTTTGTGCTTTCCCTCGGAAGAGGTATAAAGGGTGAACAGTAGCATAGTGAAAATACTGCATGCAATTGAGATTGAAAGACTTTTTATCCAAAGATATGAGATGAAAGTGTGTTTGTGGCTAAACTGTGACTGGACTCATAATCCCATTAACTGATGGAACATGCTGGAAGGACTCAATACCATTTATGACCAGCTCATTCCTGTAGTGCTACAGGCATTTATGTAGCCAATAACTACTAAAATAACCTAACTGAAATGTGCATCAGATTGATTGTACTCCTTGTGCATTTGTACTATAATTAATATGTGGACAGTTACCTTCCATTTTCTTTGCTTTCCTTTTCTACCTTGCCTTGGGTCATCAGCTTTACCATTGCTCTAAATAGTTTCTCCTATTATAACTTGCTCCTCTGTTACTTACATCTTTTCCTTTGATCACTGCATTTTTACACATCCCTGTGAATTTCCTCCAAGTTTCTCTTTCGTCATTCTTCTGCCTGTTATTCTTGAACCTCTTTTCTGGTTCTTTTGTGACAATGAGCAGAAATTAGACCAAAATTTCAGTTCGTAGCTTCCTCACCTACAAATGGAACTGTATGGCTAAAATATCACTAAGAGGATTAAAGCATTAGTCTTCAAGCTTTCGGTTCCATTGCAGCTTAGTTCTGTCAAATGTTTTGGTTTCTGGATGGTCGTGGTGTTTGAAGCATCCTTCCAATGGGTGGACTGTGATCTATTTAATTGACTTGGTGAATGTTGTTTTCTGTAAAGGTTTCTACTGCATTTCTCCCATTCCTACTGTCCCATGTCAGTGCGATGAGCCCTGTGTTGGAATTGATTCCGGCCCGAGAGACACCACCTCCAAACTATTAATTGGAAATCCCACAGGAGATTTAAAATGTGACATTGACCTTTACAGGGTTTGTGCCATAAGTGCTCCATATTCAAAGGGAGTTTCAGAAGGTGAAGGGTCAACAGCACAAGGAAATAAGCCTGTTGTTTCCCCATTGAAACTAGATATTTTAATTTCCCTTTCCTTGTTTTTATTGAATGGCAGAGCAAGCTGTGTTCATATCTTATGTACCTTGGGGCAATGGGCTTATTTAATTCATATGAAACAATAAGGGTTTAATTTAAGAGTAACAGTAGCTTCCAAGTTGCACATTCAGTGCCTTAGGTCCACCTAAGCCACATGAGTCTTCTCTAATCCAACACCAATGCAGACAAATCCACTAAGTCCACTTCTGAGATGGACCAGGACAGCGGCTGCATGGAAACACCACCACCTGCAAGCTGTCCTCTAAGCTGAACACCATCCTGAATACCTGAAACATTGACTGCTCCTTACCTCCAGATGCTGCCTGTGTTCTTCCAACCTCCTGTTTGTGTACCATCCTGAATGGGAACTATTCTACCATTCTTTTGCTGTCACAGAATCAAATACTTGCGTTGCGTTCCCTTCCCATCAGCACTATCTGTACCTGCACCAGATGGGCTGTAGCTGTTAAAGCTCACTACCACCCTTTCAAGGGTAATTGGGTCTATGGAATAAATGCAGGGCTTGACCGCAATGCTCTCAGCCTAACATTAAATTAAAAATAGCACACAATCTTAGCTTTAATCATTTTGCTTGCATTTAGTTTCTTTTTTCCAATCTGACTGTTTCAGAAAGTAAAAAGGCTTTTTGTTTCTTTTTGGTTCCCAGCTGTAAGAATTTCAAAATTTTTAAAGCAAGGAGAGTCCATGGCTAAGTATGGTACAGGGTTTCTGGTGGTGATCAGCAGGGACCTGTCACTCAATGAGCATGCTCACAGCTGTGTACATTCTCACAATAAGGACTCCTGGAGGAGAGAATCGTCAGGCTATCAGCTGCTCAGACAGAGGCAAGGGGCAGGAGAGACTGTTAGCAACAATCTTGACACTGAACCATCCTGTGTGGGAAAGGTAGGAACTACAGAACAATAACAGCTTTTTTTTTTCAGCAGTGATAGTTTAGCTCTTGTGGGGAGGAAGGGGAACAAACATTAATTTGGAGACAAAGGTGTTTCACAGCACCACAAACATTTAAAGGACATGAATACTTGTAGGACTTCAATGTGAAAAAGAAATGTTCAGCCAAATGTTATATTGATTATCTGTTTTGGTTAGTTATTAGTTAAATTAGTGTACTAGGCTGTGCTAGTAACTGCAGACCTCAAGTGAGTGAGTAACTAGAAGCAGTATCTGCTTCTCCCTCATGCAGTTATGGAGACTAGAGCTATACAGCTTAGACTGCAGGAGTGAGCATTAACAATAGATTCAAGTTTTTATTCATGCAGTTTTGCATTTGGTGATGGAAAGTGCTGCTTCATAACTTGTGTCAGTATCTGAGAGCTGTGTGTTTTTCATTTGTCACTGAGAAGGCTAGACTCCCAAGAGAGGTTGAGGTGAGAGTCCCAAAACAATCCTCCTTATCTGTGTTTTCAGTCTGGCAAGTTGGAAAAGTGACAATGCAAAGTATGAACCTTCAGTAAAGCAGCATTTTCCCAAGAATATTCTTGACTTTGACTTTTTTTCTTCTGTGACTGATAATAGAAAGTCAGTGGTGAAACGAGACTGCACTTGTTTGCATTGTTAAAGTTGCAGCATTGGCTCCCAGTATTGGTTTAGCACTGCGTGTCAGCTACCTGCAAATAATGCCTGATACCCATGCACAGATGAATGTTATAAAATGTTTTTTGATTTTATTTACTTCAGATTCACTTTCCATAATGCAGTTAATGCCACCTGTACAGAAGCTAGCCCTGCTCCTCTTTTATCTTGTCAGTGACCTGTCTGACAGACAACAGAGTTAAGGTCAATAGCCCACCATTCACTGCTCTCTGGGGGAGAGAATTCTAGATGTTAACAGTTCATTTGGAGAAGATTATCTTCCTCATTTCTGTTGTAAATAGGTCTTCCTTTTATTTTTAAAATGTGAACCTTGGTTTTAGATTCATTAGGAGGGGAAACATCTCATGATTGCATTTAGTGATGGAGCAGGCTCAACAAGGATGTGTTGTCTACACTCCTGATCCAGGTTTCTTTTGTGCATGGTCTTTTTTTACTGATATGCTGGATTCCCCCTTTGTTGAGGATGGGGATATTTGTAGAGCTGCCTCCTCCAGTGAGTTGCTTAATTGCCTACCACTCTTCACAGCCAGACGTGACAGGACAGCACAGCTTGGATATGATCTGTTGGTCGTGGGATTATTTTGCTTTGTCTATCGCTTGCTCATTATGCAACTTGGCATGCAAGGAGTCCTGTGCTCTTGTTTCACCAGGCAAGCATCTCATTTTTATGTATGCATGTGATTCTGCTTACATACCCACCTGCATTCTTCATTGAATCAGGGTTGTTCCTCTGACTTAATGGTAATGATAGAGTGGGGGATATGCCAGGCCATGAGGTTTGAGATCGTAATGGAGTTGAATCCTGCTCTGTTGATGACCCACGGCACCTCATGGGAACCCAGCCATGAGCTGTTTGAAATCTCTCATTTAGTTCAGCGATAATGCCACACAACATGACGGAGAGTGTCCCCAGTATGAAGACCAGTTACAACAAGTTGTTTCAAGATTGCATCTTTGGAATTCTCCACCCCAGAGGACTGAAGATACCCAGTCATTGAGTATGTTCAGGATTGAGTTTCATAAATGAAGGAATCAATAGATCTGGGTAGAAAAATGCAATTGAGAGAGAGGATCAGCTGTGATCTTATTCAGTAGTGGAGCAGGCTCATGGGACCAAATGACCTAATCCTGCTTATATTTCTTCTGTTCTTTATCTTAAAAACAAGTTGAAGCCTCCATGGATTTAAGCTCGTGTTAGTCCCTGTGAGAGGCTGCCTTGTTTATGCAAAATTCTGTAGGATTGCTCTGCAGGGTTCTGCTTGTTGCTTCTCTCGTTGGGTGATGTACTTAGTCCACTTCCATCCAAAGTAAGGATAATTTTCCCTATTCTGCTGAAATTCATTAAAGCACCAGATTCCATCACCCCCTTTTTATTCTCTCACGGAATGTGGGCATAGCTGGCTGGGGTCAACATTTATTGCTCGTCCCTAATTGCCCCTGAGAAGGCGATAGTGAGCTGCCTTCATGAGCCACTTCAATCTGTTTGCTGTGGGTGGACCCACAATGCTGTTTGGGAGGGAATTCCAGAATTTTGATCCAGCATTAGTGAAGGAACTACAATATATTTCCAAGTCAGGATGGAGATTGGCTTGAAGGGGAACTTGCAGGTGGTGGTGTTCCCACGTATCCTCTGCCCTTGTCCTTCTAAATAGATGTGGTTGTTAGTTTAGAAGGTGTTGTCTAAGGATCTGTGGTGAGTTTCTGCAGTTCATGTTGTAGATAGTACAAACTGCTGCTACTGAGCATCGGTGGTGGAATGGCTGTCGGTCCATCCACAAAGAATCAAGTGGGTTGCTTTGTCCTGGTTGTTGTCAAGTTTCTTGAGTGTCACTGGAGCCACACTCATCCAGGCAAGTGGGAAGTGTAGGAGATGAGTTATTTGCTGTATAATTCCTACCCTCTGACCTGCTGTTCTATTCACTGTATTTACATGTTGGGTCTAGTTGAGTTTCTGGTCAATGGTAACTCCCAAGATATAAATAGTGGTGGATTCAGTGATTGTAATGCCATTGAATGTCAAGGGGAATTGGTTAGATTGTCTCTTATTGGAGATGGTCTTTATGTGGTATTTGTGTGGCTAAAGTTACTTGCCATTCTCAGCCTAAGCCTGGATATTGTCCAGGTCTTACTGCATTTAGACATAGACTGCTTCAGTGTTTGAGAATTCATGAATGGTGCTGAACATTGTCCAATTCATCTTGAGTGAATAATATCATTTAGTGGAAAATTTAGAATCTCTACATCTCCTCCTTTCAACACGTTTTAAATTAACTTGTGTCTAAAAATGTTTTTTTTTGTCTTATATAAAAACTGGGACCTCATCAGAAACCTATACTCTTTCTGAACTTGAACTCAAAAGCCCTAACTGTTGTTGGTCTTCAGGCCTGACTTCAGATCACTGATACCATCAGCAGAAATTCCAACCCAAAGTCCCAAATCGGATGCCATTTCCATCCCAAAGCTATAGCCAATATTGATCGTCCAATGTGGACCCAACCTTCATCTTAGCAGCAGTTGGCACCTCGGGGCTAAAACTGCGAGCAGCTGCAATCCCAATTCCAGTTGGTATTTCAACCCAAAGCCTGAGACTAACTGAGACCCCACCCATGATTGTGATACTTGGCATCTTGACCCTAAGCCTGACTTCAGCTGGGATTATAATCTAAAACCTCTGACTCTGGCTGTGGCATTATATAATGGCAGATATTTGGAATTTCTGATCAGCTCACCTTTATGGAAATTTGTTTCTGCATTTCCAGTGAGCCAATTTTTGATTAGTAATCACAGGTGGCAGAAGGTAGCATTTGTTTGCTATTTAGGGGTGGGGGTGGGGGTGGGGAAGAGCGGAGAAGAGGTCAGAAGTTCAGAAACAGGAAATGGGAAAACGGAAATTGCTCGACTCGAGACAGTTCCATTAAACACCAGCCAACCTTGAGACATACTGTGTGAGGCTGCCCATATTGTGCCAATTAATGAGTTATTGGATCCGATGCCAATTCATACCCATGTGGAATAGATCAAAGATCTGAAACAGAATTTGCAGGTTCTACTCATGAATTTCAATGAGATTCTTCAAATCCCAAACCCATTCATCTAACCCAATTTCTTTTCAGTCAGTCAGAATTGGATGTGAAAATGTAGGAGGGGCTGGGTTTGTGAGAAATTGTAACAATCTTAAGCTGGCATTTCAAGAACCACTTACAAGATATCAGTACCAGAAAAAGGATAATTACACCACTTTTATTTTCATCTTTTATTTTGGTCAAATGCTGCAGATAATTACGCCACCATTTTGAGAACACTTTTAAAATATTCTTGCAGATAAACGGGCATGAGATCTTCCTTAAACTAATTTCATTTCAGCTTCTCGTAAGTATTATTTGAAGGACACTTTTTTTTCCCATCACTTTAGATTCAAACTTAGATAACGGAGATGAAAGGACAATGGCCCAACCCAGGAAACACACTATTCAATTAGAACTTGGATGATCTGATAATCCTCAACTTTTCTGCCTTTTCCCCATGACCCTGGATTCCCTTACTAATTAAAAATCTGCCTAGAGCAGCTTCAAATATACTTAATGACCCTGCCTCTACAGCCCTCTGCAGTAAAGAATTCCATAGATTCACCAGCCACTGAGCAAAGGCTGGGGCTTTTTTCCTTGGAGCATCGGAGACTGAGGGGTGACCATGTAGAGTTTATAAAATCATGAGGGGCATGGATTGGGTGAATAGCCAAGGTCTTTTTCCTAGGCTGGGAGAGTCCAAAACTAGAGGGCATAGGTTTAGGTTGAAAGGGGAACGATTTGAAAGGAACCTGAGGGGCAACATTTTCATGTAGAGGGTGGTGTGTGTATGGAATGAGCTGCCAGAGGACATGGGGGAGTTGCGAACAATTACAGCATTTAAAAGGCATCTGGATGGATATATGAATAGGAAGAGTTTAGACTGATACGGGCCATATGCTGGCAAACGGGTGCTAGTCACATTGGGATGTCTAGATGGCGTGGCTGAGTTGGACTGTGCTGTATGACTGTATGACCAGAGGGCATAATCTCAGAATAAGAGGTGACCCATTTAAGGCAGAGATGAGGAATTTCTTCTCTCAAAGGGTGGTGAATGTGAGGAATTCTTAGCAGGTGAGGTGACAGCTATTTAAGCACAGCAATGTGTAAAATGCAAATATTCAATACAAAAATGTGAAGTTTGAAAGGGCTTCAAGGCTTTGTATTGCAATACAGTTCATTTAAATTTGAGAATTAGGTTTGATTAGCATAAAACATCAATCTGTT